CTCACCTTTCCCCACCACAGCAGCCGCACACCTTTAGTTCATCTGCCAAAAACACCACATTATTAACCCGAAAGTACACAAAAAGTTCCTTGACATGCTTCAAGCTTTGACATTTCACTGATATCTGTTACGGTTCTTCAACAAAACGTTCACATGTAACAGGTTTATCTCCCATTCAGAACAATGAAAATGCCTTCCTCTCACTAATCACCATGGAAACCTTTGATCTCTGGACACGTCGTTAGATAAACACATGTGTCATGGAACACGATGATGTCATAACTGCAATTGACATAATTAGAGCAGCAGACTAATGACGTGGTCACTGGAGTTTAACAGACTGTCTCAGCCTATTATTTTCCGTCTGATGGAGACTTCATACTGACTTCAACATGTTCCACATATTTTAGACATTAATGGTGACGTATGCTTTTAGTTCAAAAGTTTTCAGTTCAAATATTCTGCTGCTTTTTCATGCATTTAGACTATTATTTTCTTGTCCTTATTTCACATTCAAGTCGCCTCTATTCATGAACCCTTTAAAGTACTCATCCACACCACTTATATACCAGGTGCGACTGTTGCTATGTGAGTTAATCTTTCAAATACAAGGTTGCTTGTTTGATTCAAGCTCTTGTAGTCAATATGTCAAGGTATTTATCCCTAACATTTTATCAGCTAACTAATGACACACACTCAGAGGATCTTTATAAACGTTTTAAGTATTGCACATCTTTAAACATGACTCTTATAAATCACTTTTAAAGCCAGCGATGCACTACAGTGTCAGCTTTTCTAAAATAGAAACTTGAATGTTTACATCTTTCTAAATGATTCTACTTTTCAATGACCTACAAATAATCCTAATAATAATAATCCCATTTTCAATCTTCCAACTGTTCATGTTTTTTGGTCAATTAAAAAACCTGTTACAAATGTGTTGTTCAACAAATTTGAGCCTTTGCCACATTTATTTGATCACCATGGAAACCTTTGATCTCTGGACACGTCGTTAGCTCAAATATAAACACCTGTGTCATGGAACACGATGATGTCATAACTCCAACTGACATGCTCAGAGTAGCAGACTTCAGATAATAGTTAATGGTCCTACTACCCCCAACAGCTCTACGTCAATTATAGGGTGTCATCATATGCCATTTCCATGGAAACGCATCCCTCGCCATTAAAACACGATGTCGCTGTAGCTCCAATGGACACGGTCCGATCGTCCCCCAAACTTCGCTTGTATATCACCGGTCCAGCCCTCAACAGCTCTACATCAATTATGGGGTTTCATATGCCGTTTAAACGCATCCCTCGCCATAAAAGACGATGTCGCTATAACTAATATATACTANCATCTCGTAGCTTAAAAAAATAATTCAACAAAATGCCTCTTGAGGGCATGAAGTGACAAAAACTTTCAACATGTCTCCATTAAACCCAATTGTAATGAACTTACAATTGGGTTTAATGGAGACATGTTGAAAGTTTTTGTCACTTCATGCCCTCAAGAGGCATTTTGTTGAATTATTTTTTTAAGCTACGAGATGTTTTCCTACGTTTCTCATGAAAAATGATGTCTCAGGAATGCAGGGTTTGGGAATTATGGCAGGTTCAAAAGAAAATATGAAGGCAAAATTAAATCTGTCCTCCACTCTAGCTGTGACATCACGCACTCTAACATCTAAAGAAGGCCTCTTTACCAAGGTCTGAACAATGTTTAATATCTCTAAAAGTAAGAATCAGATTTAAAAGTTGTGTTACACGAATAATGTCAGACAGATGTGTAACATTTTAAAGTTGGAAATAGATTTCTGAGTGAAAGTATGAAGGAGCAGTTAGCAGTTGAAGAAGGAGTAGTTAGCAGTTGAAGTTGCATGAAGATTGTTGAAGTCTGAAGAGTTTCTCCATTGACTTCCATGTTAAAAATGGGATGTATTATGGGATGTATCTCTGGAATTATGAAAGTTATGAATGATAAAAGTAATAGCCATCGATTCCCGACCGAGCTGAACGTTTTGATGTTTAAACTGAGTTTCTGCAATGTTCAATGTGGGAGGAGAAGTGGCGCAAATATAACCCGGCGGAATAATAAAGAATTTTGTGCGTAGCATAACAGATAGTGGGTAGTATTCCCACTAAATTACATTTCAACTTGACTTCTTCATCATGTAATATGTGATTGTTAGATTCATGTTGGACCCAGCCTCTGGCCAATTGTGGTGTTTACCTGTTATGACCCCTTCATATTCTGCCCTAGCGTGTCCAAGCACAATCAGCGTCTCCTGCAATGGGCTCTGATTGTGCAGGACTACAACAGTAGACACCCGTCATTAAAGGGTTCAGAGAATGTGGTGGCCGATGTACTGTCCCGTGGGTAAGATTTCACGATTTATGTCCAATAGTCTGAGTGTTTTTGGTAACTGTGGCCAAACACTTGTTTGGTTTTATGGGGGGGGGGTGTTACGTGCCGTAGTGTTTGTGTGGGTGTGTGTGTGTCTTTCTCTCTCTCCCTCTGATTCCCCAGGTGCAGCCTGATTGTCTCCAGGTGCAGCCTCTCCCCAGGTGCTCCCAATCCTCAATCAGGCCCTCTATAAAGGACCTGAGGAAGGCTGCAGTGGTCTCTCTCCTTCTCCTCTGGCTGCATGTGTACATCATGTCTCTGTCNGTCGTACGTCGTACTCGTACGTGTAGTACGACGTACTACGTAGTAGGTGTGTGTGTGTGTGTGTGTGTGTGTGTGTGTGTGTGTGTGTGTGTGTGTGTGTGTGTGTGTGTGTGTGTGTGTGTGTGTGTGTGTGTGTGTGTGTGTGTGGCACCTTTAGTGTACCTGTAGTTCGGTGAGGTTAGGCACATACTGGTTGTGGTCTCCCATCAGTAAGTCAATCGCAGGATGTCGTCCATCCCTGATCATAATCTGCCGCTGTCCTTCACAAACCTCAGGCCTGAATGCAATAAACACATTCACACAAACATGTCTAGAGATGGCCAAATGTATCGAAGAAGACATAGTGCAAGGGTGTGTGTGTGTGTGTGTGTGTGTGTGTGGGAGAGATGTTGGCGTTTTGGCTGAGCACGCTGCTGAGCCTGGTGCACACTCCCACACACAGCCTGTCTGAGACTATAGGACACGACACAGGACACCCACACACACACAATGTCCCACACACAAACTCAAACACACACACACACACACACACACACAAATACAATCTCTCACACCAGTATTTACAGTCGTCATGAGAGGACATCACCTGCAATAGTCCCCTTGTTTAGCCACCTCAGCCAATGAGAAGAGACAATCCATGGTTGCTAGGTGACTAATAGCTCTTTTCATGGTGTGATAGTGCTCCCCAAACTGACTGCAGAGAAAGAGAGAGACACACAGAGAAAGTGTTTTCAAGTGTAATTTAAGGTAAGTGCATACTATGTTCTGATCAGACTGTTGATGCACTTGACCATGAAAAAATAATTGTGTCCAGCTGAGAGATGTGCAGGCCTCTCTCTGAACCAGAGACTGACATGTTTTAACAGTTTTTCATTTGAGATTGGGTTCAGCTGTTTTTGTGTCATACTCGAGAAAATTGGTCCACTCCTTCTGGCAGTCCAGCAGCAGCTGCTCTCGGAGCTGAAGCAGCTTCTTGTAGCGCTCCACCAGGAGAGGGGAGTGATACCTGCCGACTGCCTTGGTGCTGCAGAGGAGAGAGGAGCAGAGAATGCAAGGGTTTAGAAAATACATAGACAAAGTTTTTTTACACCAGATGTTACCCGTTTTGTCTTGAGCTGTGAGCTGCCCTAAAACGAAAGAACGCGTAGAATCTATTTTCCATTTATTTAATTTGACCATTGCCTGAATACATAAATGATCCACCATTTTCTTGATCCTTATTAAGGATTTGTGAGTGGTTAACGGTTTCTCATTGAAATGAATAGGAGCCATCAGTTCCACTCTGCTCATTGCTTTCTGAATACAGATGTCATCTTGTCATTATTGTGCAAAAGGAGTGAAATAATATAGGATTGCAGTTATTTGGATTGATATTGCAATATGATTCACAATGTTGCAGACAATGTAACATTTTGCATCATTATATTTATTTACATAAAAGAATATACTTAATATGAAAGCAATCATAGTGTGTTTTTTAGTGTACCAAATGAATGATATATTTTCTTTAGTTTGTATAATAAGATATGTACAGTAAACCTTGACATCTCTGCAGCACCACAATGCCTTATTCACTAAAGATATAGACACATACTGTATTTGACCTTCAACAAATATTTCAATACAAATATTGCACTTATTATGGTTTCAATAAAACTGTGATTTATGTTTAGTCCTACACCAAGAAGCAAATACCACTATCATTTAATTTAAAAAAACGGATACAAGTGATAGTGACTGTGTGTCCATCCCAGTTGTGTTTGTGTGCGTGCGTATGTGTGTTGCAACAGTGAGCTCACCTGCTGATTTTAACCCAATCAGGTGGAACAGTGGACGACCGCAAGTTCTTCACCTCAATCAGAAACTGAGGGCAAAGGAGGATGAGGAAGACTTTGATAAATAAGGCGGGAGCAGACGGTCAAAATAATGCGTAATCCTTGATTAAAAACGACACACACACACACACACACACACACACGCACACACAAACCTCTAACTAAAACTCCCTGTCATGGTTCGAACTTCAAGGTAAAACCAGGAGAGGAGTTTTCTCTGCAAGAGCTAGAACTTAAGTCTGATAAATTGTATTCTGCAATTCAGCATAAAACAAGAGTTTGAAGCAGGGTGGGCAGATGGCCATGCACTGAACTGAACACTCTGCCTTTTTGGGTATTGGATTTCCTGCATTTTTCTTTAAGCTCTGCTTTCTTGTGGCCGATAAGGTTGTGCACAAAAGGAAAAATAGGGGTGCAACGTCAACATTGTATTCATTTTTTTTTACCAAAACTCAACACTGTTCCTTCACAGAGTTTCTAAGAATCCTTTATTTGCATAATTGAAGGTAATAAAATAAAATAAAGGCAAAGACATTGTTTCACCGCAGCTATAGAATTGCACCAGTCCCACGCACGCAGTTCTCTGCATTATATAAATGAGGGATCATTTGTTTCTGGCGTTTAACACTTGCTTCCCGATCCACACTAAATTCCAGCTGGTTGTGGTAATGCATGATGTTGTTTGGGCCCATTTGGTTGTCTATGTATTCCTCTAAAGGGGTCGTATTGTGCTTTTTTTTGGGTTTACCATTTTATGAAGTGTTATTTGGGGTTTTTGGACATAAAAATGGTCTGCAAAGGCTAAAATCCCAAAGTTCATCCCATAGGGAGTTTCTCTCCCCTGCAGCTGTAGTCGTTAGTTAACTCTGCGACTTAGACATTACTACGTAACACTGGTCTGGCGCTTCTATCGGCTAGCGCTCCAAAACACACGTGCTAACCAATCAGAGCAGACTGGGCTCTGGTTTCAGACAGAGGGTGAAAAGAGGTGCTGCAGCACAGGCAGTATCTTTGCGAACCAGGTAGAGGTGCATACAACACCGACTTGAGTGTGGAACAAGAGACCAGCTTGAGTGTGCACAGACACATTTGATATATTCCACACAGGGGCCCAAGCACATTCTCACTGACACTGAAACAGACTCTCTCTAACACGCAGACCTGGTATCAGTGGCGAACCGTGTCTATCACAACAGGACCTTCTGTAGACCCCCCC